CACATCAGAGCAATGAGATCTGTTGGTAGCCTCACGAAACAAGATGCACAAACCCCTGGAGCAGCTGGGACAAGAAGAGGTGCCGATACTGGAGGGCAAATGCAAAAGGGGGCTGGAAGAACTGCAAAGAGCCTTTGGAATAAACCCAGGAGTGACAGCATAGGAGCAGATCCTGAGAAGGGACCAGGTCTCCCCGCAGAGTGAAGCAGCTAAGGACATCATTCACAAGTCAACTTATAAACTACCATAGACTGGGCAAAAGCAGACTACAGAGGAAAAGAAGAAACCAGAAGCCAAGCAAAAGGACACTGGATGGAACTGGAAGTTGGACCCAGCAATATTACAGAAAGCTGGTACTTGTGCTGCAGGCAAATGCCAGCCAGAGCAGGGACTTCTTCAAGGAGGTGCCCAGAAGAGAAACGTGCCAAGGCAGTGAGGAGCTGATGTACAAACTGGCCCTGCAGTTGTGGGTTTACAGATACAGAGCTCGTGCTGGACAACACTGGGCTGTTCCCTTCCGCAACTGGAAGAGTCTTGACCTCATACCAATAAACCCTCAAGAGAATCAAGAGGGGTTTTGCAGTGAGAGGAAGACCACAATGCAAGCTGACTGACAGCAAGCAGGGGCTTTGTATCTCTAGGAAGATCTGAGAGAGGAAGGGGCCTAATGAGTAAGAGGACTGTCTTCTAGGAAGAATTACAAAACTCAATATAACAGTTCAGGGGCAAAAAAGAGGTATGAATATAAATCCTGAGTTGGCTTCCTCTTTCCTTTAGCCTTTCCCCTGCTTCCCGATAGCTCCAGGAAGAGGCTCTCTATGGCAAAAAGGGTGCGGGATACAAAAGCATCACTCCAGAGACTAACTGTGCCTCTGACACCAACCTGCTGCAGCCAGCAGCCTCACAAGCTGCTCCTGCAGCCACCCCAGCTTGCTCCTACAGAGGCACATAATGTATTTTTGTTATTTAAATAGACACTCAAGAGAGGTACAGCATGACAAAGGCTGAAAGAGAGGCAGAAGCAGGACAAAAGAGGCAGGGAGAAGCAGGACAAGATCTCATCAGCTGAACCTCTCCTCAAAAATGCTCCACCAGATGAAGCTTTGCTGCAGTGGTTTCATGCCAGTGACACAACAAAACTCATCCTCCTCCTTTGCCCATTCTCCTTTGCTGCTGGGATGGAGAACAGCTGAAAGGTTTGACTCGCACAGCAGCCCTGCCCCTGTGAGCAGCCAGACACACTCTGCAGGGTGCCAGGATCCATCAGTTGGCCGGTAAGGCCAAAACATGAAAGGAAAAAGTGAAAGTGGTGCCTCCACCTGCAGATGTCAGGTTATTTATGTTACATATATTATCCTGAATGATATTCAGCACCTGGGAGTTTTTCTCCTGCAGTGGTAACAACTACTGACTGGAAGCACACAGCAAAAGGGCTCTGTTCTGGTAGCAGGAGCTGGTGCCCTGCGTATCAGGGCCACAGGAGAGGGAAAGCAGAAGGCTGAGCTAAATCATGCTTCAGGGAACCAAAGATTGCTCCTTGTGCAAAGGCAGGTTGAGGGAGGGGATCCTGCCCCTCTGCTGCACTCTGGGGAAATCCCCCCGCAGTCCTGGTCCAGCTTTGGGGCAACAACAGAAGAGGGACATGGAGCGGTTGGAGAAAAGCCAGAGGAGGCCATGGAGATGCTGCAAGGGCTGGAGCAGCTCTGCTCTGGAGCCAGGCTGAGAGAGCTGGGCTGGGGCAGCCTGGAGAAGAGAAGGCTCCTGAAGGGGAGACCTTAGAGCAGCTCCAGTGCCTAAAGGGGCTGCAGGAAGCCTGGAGAGGGGCTTGGGACAAGGGATGGAGGGACAGGCCAAGGGGAATGGCTTGAACCTGCCCAAGGGGAGACTGAGCTGAGCTCTTAGGCAGAAGCTCTTCCCTGTGAGGGTGCTGAGGCGCTGGCACAGGGTGCCCAGAGAAGCTGTGGCTGCCCCATCCCTGGCAGTGCTCAAGGCCAGGTTGGACACAGGGGCTTGGAGTGCTCTAGTGGAAGAGGTCCCTGCCCGTGGCAGGGGTTGGAGCTGGAGGAGCCTTAAGATCCCTTCAACCCAAACCATTCTACGACTCCATGGATTTCACACTGCACACTCGTAAAACAAGGAAGATTTGAATCTGCCCACAGCAGAAGGGTCTGACAAGCCACAAGGGATGCAGCCTGTTCCTGGGCATGGTAACTCCAAACAGGACTTGGCACTTCCAAGAAGCAGGATGGAGAAGATGGAGCAGGAGCTGGGGGAGACCCCTGTACCATTTTCTCTGCATCTTATCAGCAGTTTCTGGTGCCATCTCTGTTTCAGTCATCAGTGCAGAACAGCAAACAACTTTTGGCTTGTGGCCTCCATGAAGCTATTCTGTACTGCTGGATGTCCTTCCATGAATGACTTGCCTGCTGTAGTGATGCTGCTCCTGGGGGAGCACAGGAGAGGGACAGCTGCACCAACAAATAATCAGAGGCACTGGCTCCCCAGTCCAGTTAATTGCAGGGCAGCATTCCTGATGCCTTGCACACAACATGGTGGTACACCATGGAACTGCATCAGGTGTTACTGAGATCATACTAAAGACCTCAAATCACTAGACTGACATGTTTTCTTCTCAAAGCACTACTCCACTTCTAAACCTTCCCAACAGAAGTGCATTATGCTTAATGAGAAGAAAACAAGTTCAGTTCCTGCCTGTAGAGCAAGGAGAGGCCATGGAGAATAGCTGGCTCCCCAGAAGCCAGGCTGGGAGCTGTGGCTTCAGACAGCAACAGCTCTGCAAGTTGGCAGGACACCACAGGCTTAGGGGACACAGAGTGAGCAGGAGGTGACAGCCCCGAACACGGATGGTCCACAGGGCAGATTTAGACAGAGCAGGAGCAGGGAGATTTATGAGCAACCTCAGCTGCCCCCAAAGCAACAGCAACCTGAGAAAGAAAAGACTTTGCAGTTCAGAAACGAACTAATCGCTAGCCCAAGCTCAGCCATGGCCTGAAACCTCACCTCAAGTAACTGAAGCATCCACGCTGTGGAACAGCTGCTGCTGCACTGGGACTCACTTGCTGTTCCACTCACAGGTCTCCCTTTGATGAGCTTCACGTTTTATCCCCACTGGGACAAACAGAACAGTCCTTTGCCACTGACATTCTGGACTCTAAACTTCCGTCTCCTGCAGGCTTCACCATGCCTGCCCAAGGCTCAGAGTGGCACCAGCCCAGCCCACAGCTTTGGCATTTCAAAGTTCCAACACTGTAAACCTCTTGGATTTTATCTGTTCACAAGTGGACCCCCAGGTTCACCACCCCCATGAGGCTCAGGCAACCTCTCTTTCCTTAGGAAACCCAGCTCAACATGCTGTGCAATGTCACCTCCAATTGTACACTTCAAGAACACAGCAGTGGTGCCTTCTGCCTCCCAGATGAGAGCCCTACCCACATCACAGACCCTCCATACTGACCAGATTATCCCATGATGCTGATCATCCCTTCTGCAAACAGAGTCCGGGACAGCATAGTGTCTGTGCTAGCAGATGCATCTCCTCCTTGATGATGTTAGCTAAGCCAGCAGAGCGCTCTTCTCCCCAAAGTGGTACATGCTGCAGAGCTTTGAACCAAGCCACCCAGCTGTATACATGTCTTTTTCCTACCCATGGCTATCATGATTATTGTAGCAAAACTACAGACAACCAGGTCCCACACCCTGGGCTTGAGAAGCTGGGGGTACCCAGACATCTTTTCACCAGCAGTTTTCAACCTGTGAGCTGCAAGCTCCAAGTTGCACCAAAGGCAACTAAGAAAAACAAGCATTTAGCTGCAGACAGCCGCTAGCTCCACTGGAGACTTTTAGGGATTCAAAATTAGGTTGAAACACCACTGCATGGTGATCCAAAATGCTCAGAGACCTGGCCAGTGAGCCCACTGCTGTGAGGAAGTCCGTATGTACTGGAGAAAGTCAAAGGGTGGCGATTACTCCAGTAATGTGACACACTAGAAACAAGTATAAATCATATTCACAGCAGCTGGAGCTAGGGCTCAGACAAGTCTACCTGGCACGTGAGACCAGCAGAACGTTTCCAGGTCAGAACAGGGAAGACTCCGAAGAAGACAGAGGGTTGGAAAATAGAGCAACATGGACTCCTACATAACCCACTCTTTCATGGAAACACAGTTGGTATCATCCACAGAGTTAAGATTTATGTTATTAGCTACCAGCCAGCAGCAAGCAAAGGAAAGGACAAGAGAGAAGGAAGGGAGAATGGCTGCTGCCCATCTTGCTGAGCTTGAGGGACAAGCAGCTCCTCCAAGATGCCCAGTGAGCACCACTATGCAGCATGCCAAGGATTCCACCTGAGAAATGAGGTTACAACATTGCTCCTGGTTTCAAGGGGAGATTTTGGGGAGCACAAGGTAGAAAATGGGCAGTCCAGAACACTGCTACACTTGCCATCTCCATAGCAGGTCCAAGCATGGAAAGCGCAAAGCAAAGACACTCCATCGTATATCAGCAAGAGCAGAACACTCCCTAGAAGATGCCCACTCCATTGCAGCTCCTCCTGGTGAAGCTATGCCATGGCACGTACTTACATAAAAAGTGAATTTTAAGTCTCTACCTTATATCCCAAAGGCCACCACGGAGCTATTAGTTGTCAACCTGTACCTAGCATCAACCTAGGCTGTTTCTGAACCAGTGACCCAGAGGTGAAAGGCCCATGCCCCATTATCAGTCTCCAGAAACATGTGATCCCCTCAAAACAGCAAGTTCCTGATAGACATTTTCAAAAGGGCACAAGCAATTATGAGAGCTTCACAAATCACTTGACAATATGCCCATTATACAACGTATTTTCAGCAAATAGCAGCCTTTACACTGGAAATAAATAGAAAAAGAGCAGTAGATGGGTGCAAGATGGAAGAACATTAATTCTCCATCACATTTCATCCCTAATGGACTGAAGTACAAATGTAAGTATGGGCATCACCTACTTTAACTGCCATAATTTGCCCACTTGGTTTGTGGACCATTTTGTTGACAGAACCATAAGCTCCTCGTCCAATTTCTCCAAGGTCTTTCAAGTCCTCTGCTGTAAAATCCCAATGCTGTTCAGGGGAAATCTTCAATTTTCCTGATGATTCAATGCTGTGTGTTCTCAGTCTCTCTCTGTCAAAAATATTGGGAAGCAATTTTTCCACATTTTAAATAGTCTGTAAATGTCTCTTTTCAGCACTTGATTAAACATTAGAAGAGAGGGGTTCACAAAAGCTACAGCAACAATCGGACTCCACGAAGGATTTGGTTGGGGTGGGGAGGTGCAGGGGTGAGGGGAAAATGTTCAATCAAAAATGACATACACTTGCCCACAGCTTCAATTTGCATCTACATTTCTCCAGCTGCAGTGTAAAATTCAATGTGTCTCATATAGTAGAGTCATTCTAATCACTCACACACTTCTTTCTACTTGGCACAGAATACATCGGGCTTCGAGCAGGATCCGGTAACATGGAGAACCAAGAGACTGAAGAGCCCCATCTCCCCATAGCTTCTGCTGCTCTACACTGCCATGCTCTCAGCAACTGCCTCCCTTCCCACTGGGTTTCTACAACACAGGCACATTCTGTGTGAATCCAGGGGACTTTAGAAAGGATTTGCTCTTAATGGAAAACTGCACTTTAAAAACAAAACCCAAAAACATTTTAAGCAATAATTTAATTTACTCAAAACCAAATAAACAGCCAATCATTTCCATGGATAAACCCCAGGTTGTTTGCAGTGTATGAAAACAAACCCTGCCTGTTCAAGTGTCTCTTTACCAAACACCTGAATTAACATTCTCAGGCAAACATTGCTCCTACTGAAGCCACAAATCCTGGACAACTAGGAAGGAGCAAACCAATGCCCCAGATGCATAAGACAGAAGAGTTCAATGGCTGTTTTGAGCTGTCCCAATTACTCATTTAAATGCAGCAATGCTATTGCTGAATTAGTAGGAAATGCACAAGTATTTTCAATACTTTTCATCTCAATGCCATGCAATTTGTCAGGTTTTCATTAATTCAGTAGCTGATTTGTACTTCTTGGGTTGTAAAGTAAGCCAAAAGCCTGACTTTTCCCACTTCCAAGTAGCATTAACAGCATTAAAGACAGCTCCCAGTGCAGTGCACACCAATATGACAGCACACAGGTCCTTCTGACCACCCTGTGTACAAGGGAGATTCTATCAAACTCATCCCATGGACTCTGAACACTTCTCTTGGGCATTTGATCAAGTCACCACTTGCTTATCCAGGGGCTGGCCTAACAGCCAGGCCACAGGTGAAGTATTTGACCAAACACACAAAGCTTACAGAGCTTTAAATAAACACTTTATGGGTGATTCCGTGCTGATAAAGGCAGCCGTGTGCCAACCAGCAGCTGAGGGTGCTGCCGGCTGCGAGGCTGCACCCAACCAAGACCTCTGAGAGGCTTTATTTGGAACATGGATTTTGTGAGGGCAACAAGGTCAGGTCCAAAGGTCAAGTGACTGGAGCAGCCCCGGTTCAAATGGCTTCATCTGCTGCACTTCAGCTTCTCTGCGCCCCTTTGGTTTAGCACTTTGGGGCTCCGAGCAGCTGCATGTCCTGAAGCCTTGAGCTGCTCGATGGAAGCCTTGCTCAGCAGCTCCTCTCACCACTGCTCTGCCTGCTCTGGTCTTTCCTGCTCTATAACCTGCCTGGCTTGAGATTTCTCATTTGCCACTCCCTATGGTACCCCCTCCACATCCCTTACGAATAGTTCAGGAAACCTACTGTTAGCACTACAACACAGCACGGATGTGACAAGACACAGCAGCCCAAGGAGCAGAGGTGACAGCCCTTCGCTAGCACTGTTCACACACCTGGGGGTGTCTGTGCCTAATAAACTGCTGCACTGAGTGGTGGGATCTCCATGGAATTTGCTTAGTAAAAAGCAACAAATGAAAATAAGGCAGTAAAATGAGGGAAAGAAGAAAGAGAAGGAAAAGAAAGAAAGGAAAGGGAAAAGAAGGCGAGAGAAAGAAAGGGAAAGGAAAAGAGAGAGAAGAGAGAGAAAAAGAAAAGCAACATGACCTCCAGACTCCGTAGGCTGATTATGCCGGAAACTGCATGAATCAGTCACTATCTGCTTGCTCAACCATCCTATTTTATCAGCACCATAAAAATAGTTCTTCTTTTGCTGGAAGAAGGTAGGTGAGAAGCATCAGCCAAGAGGCACCGGCAAAGGGGCATTTCCTGCTGACCTCCTGCCAGCTGGGCAGGAAGAAGCACAACCACTGAGAGAGGAACCTTGTTCCAAAAGGCAGGGAAAAAAGGCAGAGAGGCCTTATTGGGAGAGTGAAATGTAAGGTTGGATTCTTCTGAGAAACCCTTTCCATTTCTTGCTTCAAAGCAAAATTTCATGTTGAGGCTCTCAGAGAGTTAAAGGATTCAAATGCTGATGTGATTTATTAAAATGAAGCCATTAAACTCATCCCCACTCCTCCCTCTGTCTGTTTTTCTGCCCATAAAACTTTGCTTTTCTTACCCTACACCAGAAGAGAAAGCAAATCTGAATTCATTATTTCCTTGTTACACAAGAAGCCTGTTTCTCCCCAGCTGTAGCATGAAAGCAGATCTGTGCCATTGTTCCTGCAGCTGCAGGATGGGTGCTTGGAGCTTGGGAAGGCGGGAGCTAGGAAATGCCCCTCTTCAGGTCTGCCCTCTACAGCTGTGCTGTGGAGCAGCGAGCTCCAGGGGTTGGGATCTAGATGGACCATCACCATCACCCACAGAACGTCATGTGCTGGAGGTCAGCTTCATTTCTGTGATGCACTGATGATTCTACCTGTCTTGTACTGGAGTCACAGCTAATGCTTACCTTTTCTCAAATACCCAGGGAAATGGTCAAATAACCCAATGATAAGTCTAACAGACACTTTCACACAGATTTTGCCCGTTTAACTGATTTATCACATGTAAATGATGCAGTTTTCCTTTAAGCAGCATGACCTAGCTTTAAGAGAAACTGAACAGTTTTTCACTATAAATCAAGTTACCAAGGGATTTCCATGCCAAGAAAGCAGCTCAAAAAAAAAATAATAATACAAATCTAGAACACAGTCTCTCTGTATTGATATAAAATGGGAATTCTCTGATGTAGAGCTGAGTGTGGCAATAAGAACAAGTAAATCATCAGTGCAGCACATCTATTTGCACTGCTGCAGATCCATGAGGACATAAGGCAATAAGAACAAGTAAATCATCAGTGCAGCACATCTATTTGCACTGCTGCAGATCCATGAGGACATAAATCCACAGGTGGACAGGCCCCCAAAATACAAAAAAGCCTGGCTAAAGCCTGCGCTACATCCCAGTGCACTTGATACGGCAACAGCTTGCTTCAGAAAATAGAAGGGGAACCACAGAACAGTGTCTAGTGAAGGTGAAAAGTAACTAATGCCCAGCCCCGGCTCCTGCCTCCGATCTGATTTCAGCCCCTGTGTTTAGTGCTCAGTTTGCACAGGCGTGAGCTGACAAACACCTCCTCTCTACCATTTGGCTTTTAAGCTGTGCAAGCCCAATCTCTCTAGGCCTGGGAATGTTGAGCAAAATGAGGTATAGATTCTCTGAAGGCTCAGTATGGGTAAGATGGACTTGTGAGGCTTAATGTCTGCTTTAAAATATAAATAAACAGCTAAAGAGGACTAAATACTCCTCAAAGAGTTAAAAGCAGTATCTTCAAATGCACCTTGGGGACTCCTCGTGACTTGGCCAGAACTTGAGCCTCCAGCTCCCTGTCTTGCTTTTGAAAAGTTGTAAAGGGAATAAAAACCTGAAGAGAGGATGGGCTCAGGAGGGCACCGAGATCACTGCACTCACAAGGCCCTAACGGATCTGCCTTCCTGCAGATGGTTACTATGCTTGTCACAGCAGTTATTCCAAGGGATTAGGAGCACCGAGCAAGACAACAACTCCTGGAACAGTTGCCCTTTGTCAGAAATGAAAACGCTCGTGGGTCCAGCTTGGCAGGAGGCAGGCGGCCGGCTGGCGCCAGGCACCGCGGCCGGGCCAAGGACGGGGTCACACGCATTCGGGATGGATGTTGCTCCCTGCTCCAGGCCGGCTCCACTCCCCTTGCAGGAAGGTCTGCCACAAGGAGAGGCACACAGAACCTCCTGGGAAAAACAAGGAGGAAGCTCTGGGACAGGCTGCGTTAGTTCCCCAAGCCCTGATGTTAGCACCAAAGGGAAGGGATGCCCGGACTTCCTAAAACACGCATTTCCTCAGCATGAAAAAGAAGGACTGTGGGGAAAAGCAGAGAAAAGTTGGTGGATTTTTTAGAGCAAAATTGACAGCTATCGGACAGGAAGCAAGGCCAGAAAGATGCTCTAGGTAGTAGCTACCTATCTCCTCTTTGGGTTACTTGGCTGAGAGTTCCGTGGGGCTCAAAGAAGCCCAGAAGTTGAGGTATTCAACATTACAGTGGACATGAATAAAACACATCCGTAGAGTCAGAAAGATCCAAGCAAACTGTCCTTCACACTCCTGCCTGGTGCTGGATTCTTTTAGGATGTCTCCCATTACAGCTCCTATTTACACTGTAGTTGATGAGAACACGTTCTACTTCTCCACAAGTTTGGCAAAACCACTGCTTGACACAGGATTTCAGAAACCGAATTTGTGGTGACTCAGCCAAAGGTCAAACCTAAATCCTAGCAACAATAAAAAAAGTTTCTATGCAAACTACAGGGTTCTAATGACACTGTGTGCTGTTCCTAACTTCAGAATGAAAACGCATTTCAGGACTTTGGCTAAGACATTTCAACCACGCCTTTCAAATAGCCTCAAGAGGTTGTAGTGCTTCTATCTCAACATCTCTGTTACTCTTACAGGTTTCAGACCCTGCAGGCTGATGCTAATAAAATAACTCCAGTTTCAGTTTCCCTGGAGAAAGTCTCCCAAAGAAAGGTCAGGTTTTTTTTACTAGAGGGCTCAAAATGTTGGTGCTCCTGCAAATCCATCACAGAAAGAAATTCCTGCTTCCAATAAACCAATGTGCAACAGCATCCTTGCAAGAGGACATAAGTAAGGTGTCCTGAAGCTTATTATTTAGTAACAGACTCCTAGTCATGAAGAAGAGATACAGAAAACGTGGCAAAGGAAGGA